CCCCAAAACCCCAAAACCCCAAAACCCCAAAACCCCAAAACCCCTTATCTTTTCTTTTGAGTTGAAATCTCCAATAAAAATAGGTTAATCTGGAATTTCAGCAGTGATCTTGATAAACTTCTCTCCGGTTTGGATTCTCAATTGCTTCAGATCTTCAAATTGCCCATGCTCATAAGTCATATCTCCAAATGGATTCTGTAGAGAAGTATATTCGATAATTCTGTTAACGAGGTATTCTTTAAGGACTTTTTTGCCAACGATATTATTTGCTTCAAAGTTCTCTATCAAGTAGGTAGGGTTTTTCAAACTCACAGTTCCATTACTATCAATGGCTGGTTGAGAGGTGACTGTCATGGTGAAGGTAGCATCTAATACTTTGCTAGTTCCAGCTCTCAAACTACAGGCAATAGGCATTACAAGATGAACTCCTGTAGTGTTTAACTGAACTAATGGATCAGATTCTCCATATTCACATCCTACATCAATTGGAGTATCCTTAGAGTATTTGTTCATGCCGTCAATAATATATCTAAAATCATTAGCAGTCATTCCAAAGGTGCTTCCATCAGGAAGATTAGCTTGGCTGATTGCTGTCCAGAAAGAGACAGTTTTCTTATCTAGCTCAAGCATGGACTGGAAGAATTCCTCAAAGAAGTACATAGTCAAATCTCCTCCGCTTTGTAGAGTTTTTCTCTCCTGAGTTGGGACTGGGGTAGCCTTCTTTTTCATCAAAGTAATATCGTAGTTATAACCAATCTGTAAGGTGGCTCCAGATCCTGGACTAATTTCTTTAAGATGAGGCTTCAAGGCAAAATCAAGGTCGTCGAGAGTAGCTTGAGTAGATGCGATAAAGACTGTATCTACCTTATCTAACCAAGTATTAATAGCTTTCTGGAAGTACTCACCAAGTTTTTCAGTATAGGTAGTATCTCTAAGTTCTTTCATCCATTTATACTGGGATTTATCCTCAATATCTTTGTCGTCACATTCCAAAGTAGGAGGTTGGGAATACTCAATATGTCTATCAACACTGAGTTTGTCTTTTACAAGGTCAAACTTGATCTTAAGCTTGTATGGTTTAACAGTGAACTTGCATACAGATTTATGGCTGAAGGGAGCCACAGCAATATTATAACTCCATGTGTAATGCAGATCTCCAACGAAAGGATTTACCGAGAATACGTATTCATTGTCAGCATAGTTAACACCAGCAATATCTCCAAAAGACATAGCATCTACAGAAGTCTTTTTAATCGTCATTGATGTTCCAAAGATCCAAAATCCTGTATTGTCGCTAACAGTTCCCATATCAGAGTTCTCAAAGGTAGCATAAGATCTCTTAATAATACTCTTGTAATGATCAATCAGTCCCTTTGAAGAGTAAACCTTCTCAACTACCCCTTGAAACGTTTCTGTAGCTACCAGGGTCGCTACAGAAAGCAAGCATATTACAAACAGTGCTTTCATTAATAATTATTTATAGTTCAGTTCTATTACCTTTTTAAGGGGTTTTGGGGTTTTGGGGTTTTGGGGTTTTGGGG